CATCACTGTAAGGAAGAGGCATAGAGGGTTCGATGAATTTATTTTGTTCACAAGACTTTTGATTCTGAACTTGACGAAAAAAAAAATTTACCCTCCTGTCTTGATGGTGACTATAGTTTTATATAAAATTTTATGTCCATGCAACCATCCTTGTAGGAAAGTTTCCTAGACATGAAAGTGATTTTTTTATCATTTCTCTAAATGCCATAACACAAAAACTCACATGGATGATACACCAATATCATAGCGATGTGCCTGGAGAACTACTCACTACAATTTGTATTAGTATTTTGCAAATATGTGTTACCCAGTAGAAGGAGAAACTGAAAACAGAGCTTACAGATAAAGACACAGTATGAGCAACAAATCAAACTTGTGGAAGAATACAGTAAAGCAGTCTTTTAAGACCTTACCTTGTGCAAATAATTTGTTTTAATGATTTATTGGTGTACCTCAGTGTTCCAACCAAAACCAACTATTCACAAAATAAAGCAGACTTTTATTTAAAAGCTACAAGGTTTTACAAGGGATGGTAATTGCTTCATGATCAACAGTTATTAATTTTTTTATTCACTAATAAATTATCAATAATTTTTTTAATACCATTAGTCAATTTGCAAACAAAACCCATATTTGGAACAAATAAAGGCTGATATCACCCACTTAACTTCTTTTCTGCTGTCAAAAGTTTAAACTCTATTATCTGTGTATATATCAGGTCCTCTCTATTCATAAAGAATTTAAATGTATCAGTCCCTCATTTTCCTTAAAACTGCTTAGGTTGGTCAATAACGCTTGTTTTTAATCAGTTGGGTGAAAAAAACTGGTAGAGTTACAGGGAAATGGTTCTTTTTCTATGGTCAATGCTTATTCAGAATATTCAGGTGATCTTACAGCCCCTAGAGAGAGGCACTCTTAATCACAATCAATCAAGGTTTTCTTTGGTCACTTTTATTTGGTCTAACTTAGCACCATGTCTCTTTATTTCTGAGTAAAGCAATTTTTACATCAATTGGATCAAATTTAGTTCCATTTGTAGAAAAATTACATTAAAGGTTTTTTTCTGTTTTTAGGCAGGTCTAGGTCTGTTGATGTCTGATGAGATGTGAATCTGAAGAGGCATATGTAGCCATTGTACTATTTTCAACAGATTGTGTACATGTAAGTCTTAAATTGTGTTAAAGTATGCCCAGTCAGTAACTTGACAAATCAATGTTGAGATCAACACTTAAAATGGAAGGGATGTGAATTTGTCCTAACCTTGTCCGACTTTACATTCAATAATAACTATTTTAGTTTAAACCACAACAGAAGACATATTGTCCAAGACTGAGGTCACAGTTTTTCACCATACGACTTTACATTCAATAATAACTATTTTAGTTTAAACCACAACAAAAGACATGAAATTATTTCTGTTAATAAACCAAAAAGTGGTTAGAAAATAAACTTTTGACGTGCACTTCTGTCTCTAAAGTTGCTTAGAGTATAATGGCATGTACCAACCACTACCAAACTAGGCAATCAGGGTGTGATAAGCACTATTCACCTGTGTGGTATATTGTAAATGGTAAGGGTAAAATGAGGGTACCCTTATAATTCAAAATAAAATTGTCCTTAGAGAACGGTTTTATTTAAAGTGAAAACAACTTCTTGACATGCAAACATGAGAGACATCTAAATTTGCTACTGAATAATAGTTACAAATTACTAATTTGCAATAAATGACCAGTCAATGAAAAACCCTGTCTAGAGGGAAATGTTCCTTTTGCATTATATTTGTTTAAAAGTAAATGCTCTTTATAAATAGTTATAAAATCAGTTCCAATAAGATTCTTCCCAAACCAGTCAAGTAAAATGTAGTGGCAATTGTACTTGCTCCTCAGCTTGTTTTAATTTCAACTTCCTATGGTACAAGACACTTCAAGGTCATTTGATGAAAAAACTTATTTAAATAGTTACATCTATGTATTTGCAAGCCCTCAGTTAACCAGGCCTTGCAGAATTACACATTTTGAATGTAATGAATACATGATATGTCTTTCACTTGACAGGGAGCTTCCTTTTTCTAATTTCATCCTGGCATCCATATGGTTTTGACATACCTCTTCAATAGTCAAATAGTTGTAAGTGTAAGTATTAACATTTTACTTATTATTTACAGGTGATGGTTTAATTTACAGGGATATGGTTTTGAAACTGAGAGACAATGTGGACTAGAGCCCCAGTAATCTGGATGTGGCTGTCATCTAAGCAGTTGCTGTTTTACTTTCCAGTCCAGGGTGCTTAGTAATGCAGTCCATCTTAAATATCATGTTAATTTACATTGTGTATAATACTGGGCTTAGTTTTCTTCTAGCTGGCTAACACATTTGAAAAACTGACTGGTTGGTGTTAAAGACATACCCAGTGACTGACAGACAGACAGGAAAACTTCATGGCTGCAGATTTTCCAGAAGGTAACTAAGTCACTGATTGACTATATGACCTAACTGACTGACGTACAGACAACCTGACAGGATGGCTTGTTGGCAGCTGGTTCCTTGACTACTTCACTGACTGAATGGCTTGTTGTCTTGCAGCTGGCTAGCTAGTTTGCTTTTTGACTGGTTGACTAATTGGCAGATTGACTGGTTGACAGGCCAATAGCTCTCCGGATGAGGGACTCTGAATGACCGATCTACTGATTGGCTGAGTGACTGATGGACTGACTTGCTGTCATACTGCCTAACCAACCAGTATCCTGAGTGGATGGCAGGCTGATTGACGTACTCACCGATCAATTGACCAGCCGGCTGGCTAGCTAGCTTCTTGACTGCCTGCCTAACTGAATTCCTAACTGGTCAACTTACTGACTTTCTGTTTGCCTGGATTCCTAGCTGGCTGATTGACTGATTGATTAACAAACTATCCTACTGACTGAAGTGGGTAAGTTTCTAAAGAAACTGTGGTACTACATCTGTGGGAGAGTATAACAGGGTAATTTAGAGTTGTCAGCCGAGTTGATAACATGAATTGACCACCGTAAATAGTTTCAAAGTTGATGTTTCAAGCATTGGCTCTTCATCAGCACAAATGGAGGAATTTTGTGTTGTGTGTGTGTTTAACCTACTGACTGACCCACTGACTTGCTAATTTGTGTTACCCACTAACTGGTTTTTCAATTGGTATACCCAACTGACAGACAGATTGCGAGGTTTGTACACTAAGTAACCAAGTCACCAATTGACAGCTTGACTGACTACGTGTACCAGCCAGCAGCTGACTGTCTGACCAAATGGGTGACTGACTGACCGACTGGCCGACTGGCAACTTGCTGACTGACCTGGCGGCTGATTGATTGACTGTCTGATTAGCTAGTTGGCTGCTTCTCAATACAACTGACAAGCTAGCTGGTTACCAAACTGACGAACTGATAGACTAAATGGCTAAATGGCTGCAATTCGCTCTGACGAAGGGTTAACGCTCGAAACGCCAGCTTTGAAACTCTTCACGGTGGCCAATTTGCAGATAATCAACTCAGTTGATAAACCAAATTATCCTGTTAGACTCTCTCACCGACGCAACACCACAGTTTCTTCAGAAACTTAACCCCTTTGTTTGAATGGCTTACTAATTGATGGATGGACTGACCGACACATGTCTATAGCTTTAGCTATAGTGGCGCTACTCTTTGGAACAGACTTCCTTGTTACATAAGACAAGCAGAGTCCCTTGGGATATTTTTAATCGTTGAATTAAAGAAGTACGCTCAGGCAAGGCATTCGTGGAAAGCAGCTTTAGCTAAATTTGTGCTTTAAGTATAGTTTTTATAGTATGCTATCCATTTTATGCATATTTATATATTTGAATGTTTTTATGGCTGATGAATTGTCCGTGGGTAAATAAAGATTATCTATCTATCTATCTATCTGATTACAGTCAAACCTGTATTAAGCAATCACCCACGGAGAATGACCGCCTATTACAGGTTCCACAGAATTGGGGTATGAAGAAATACGCCATTTTATTCCATATTGCATCGTTCAATGCAGGTGGAGGACAATACAAATAGACCATTGGGTTTCGATAGAGTCTTAATAGAGGTGAAAAATCCAGTAAATTAGGGTAAAAAATCGGGACTTGACAACCGACCGCTTCATACAGGGTGACCGCTTTGTAAGGTGCTGCTTAAAACCTGTTTGACTGACCAACTGACTGATTGACAAAGGTGCTTACTAGCTGAGTAACTTTAGGTGGTGACCAAGGGCCTATCTGCATAAGCGTTGTCTCGACTAAATCAAGGGACTTATTATTGTCTCATCTGTTGCAGCTGCATGAAGACTTTCAAATTCCGTAAACAACGAAAAATAACACGTTTCAATGCCTGATCCGCTCAAAGACCGACCGGCATAGTTTGCCAGTGGATTCAATCTCCAGTTGCCAGGATTTATCTTAAGTCGTTTTAGAGTTTTGATATCCACGGTTTTCGAATCAAAGGACAACTACTGCCCACCCGATAAACCGAACTCAGTTCAGTTACCACGCTGGCGATAAGTTTCAAACCGTTTTTGTTTAATTAGTCGATTTTGTCCAGTTTTTTTCCGCTTCAAATTTTGTCGGCGGCGGTGCGTCAGAATATTTGTCCACTTCGGCCTAAATTTTTCAAGTGCGACAAACCATCCGCACCTGTCACAGTGTTGGTGATAACAAGTGGCAAGGTTCATGGAGGCTCTGTGTACGTACTTCCACCCACTCCAAAAAAGCTACCACAAAAACGGAGGAAAATATATTTTATTTAGGGTGTCGTCTTACTCTATTGCATATCTGAGATACCCTTTGTACAGCCGCCTTCTACCATCCGAAAGGAAATCAGCGGCACGTTCTTTTGGAGGGTGGGGGCGGATGTAGACGGGCCAATCTGAGGTAGTAACAGTCGGTTGTTTCTTATCATAGTTGTCAAAAACAAATCATTTTACGGCAGCACTCATGAGAACCTGCTTTTATTTTGATGGCTTTCAGGTAAACAGGTAAAAGGAGACTGCAATTTTGCCTGGATTTTTTCTGACTTAAGCATGGATTGGAACGTGCAAGCTGATTCCTTTACCATTCACCAACAGGTTAGAATGTAGAATAACACATGGACAATAACTCGTTGATGTCTTTTAACGTACATGATTGATACGACACCCGTGTAAATACTGGGAGAATACAAAAAGAGTTTGTTCCCATGTACCACATATAACTAGATGGTTTGTAATTGTTTTGAAGTGATGAATTTGCGTTAGTAGCGTTCTGCCGAGAAATTGATTCCACAGTACTTAACCTTGATACTCATAAAGATGCACGCTTCAAAAAAATAAATTATAGGTTGTTAAATTTGATTTTTTTTGTGAAAATTTTACACTTCCTTCGAACTAAATTCATTGAAATGATGAGAAGCGTGTATTGGTTTAATTACTTGGTTAATCAAATTTGCACTGCATTACAGCAATATTACTGGCAGTTTCATCACATCTCAAAAGATCCTTTTGACGAGTTACGAGGTGTTAGGGAAATGTGATTAAATGTGGTTATGTTATACACAAATTTATGTTAAATAATTTCCCACCTTTTTCAGAATGTTGTATCTGTTACTTTAGGCTCGTTGCAGTTTGTTACCTCCTGACTTTGGTTCCTTTATTTGAAGATGAATGTTGTAAGAATAAAGGTTTTGGCCTCATTTTCTTTTGTTTTATTTCAGATTTGGGAGGAAACGTAGGAGAACTGAAGAAATCAAATCGGATGGAAGATCAAGTATGACTTTAATTTGATTTTGTTTTGAGTTAAGAGGCATGTTATCCCATACATGTTAAAGAGATTTCATCTCTAAGTTCCTAAGTTGTACTGAAGATAAATGTTTGTGATTACTATAGACTTAAACCATAGAGGAAGACGGACTATTTCCTACGTTTGCCATTTACAGATTTCTGTGTTTATTTTGCATGTTTGTGATAATAGGAATGAATATCTGATTATTTAATAGTGCAAAGAGAGAGTTAGGTTCTAATTTACTTGATTTTATTCTAGCTGCAGTTATTATGGCTTTAAAGACCTATACACGATGGCCGGTTTTCAGTGACGGTTGCGTCTTTTTTTTTTTTTGGTTCGTCAAATAAGCAGAAGAAAGGTGTTTCACATGTATTCTTAAATTTATTTTAGATTAAGTGAGGAAGCGTAATTTTCATCTTTCAGAGCATGAATAAGGTCAAGTTTGGATCAAACTCATGGGAGACCAAAGTGAAATATATTTGGTGAGTGTTATAATGATTCTTTACCGTGGGCATTAAATCTGCATGTCTAGATATGGTGGGTAAATTTTTCTTCACGCGTTCTCTTCCTCTTTCAGATACCTCAAAGATTATAAGTTTAAAAGGAAACGCAAGGGAGAGGAGAATACTTCACACGTTGGTGAGTATAATTTGTCTAACTTTTGAAGCCTCTTAACCCTTTAACTCTCAAGATCTGATTGTTAATTCTCCCTTCTAGCTGCTACACATTTCCTTTTTTCATTAAGTTACGAAAATTTGGTGTCAGATCTGTTGTATTCCACGTTCGGAAATTTGCATCTCCAACTATTTCCAATGTCGTCTAGCAATTAATTATTTTGACTCGAACCAGAAGTGGCGAATTGTTATTTATACCTTGCTCCACTTTACCTCTTCCAGATATTGCAAAGATTACAAGTTACCAAATAGGGCCAAGAGAGGAAAAATTATGGTTGTTGTTATCTCGCTTGTTACACTTGTAAATCACAGTGAATCTGGCTTCGTAAAAGGTGTAGTTTAAGGCATCGGAATGTAAAAGAATAAAGCGATTTGTAATGTATTTATTTATTCTCCTTCGTATAACTTTAAATTTCACACAGTGAACTTGAGAACCCAAAAGATGTTGTGAAACATGTCGACTTCAAAAGACCAAGGATAGGATTTTATGGCTCATTTGAAACCCTGCCTTATTTAGTGGGTGTCATGGTGCAATGACCATTTCAAGCAATTACTTAAGAGAAAGGTCAATCTTGGAATGGACGGAAAATCGGGGGTCGATCCGCCACCGTCCCCCACCACGCATGTGTTCTAAAAGATGTATTTTTACCATAAGGACGAAATTGTCTCAAGTTACAAAGCAACGGTCTATATGAGGCGGGTGTGGTGGAGGACGGTGGCGGGTCAACCCACGATTTCTGTCGATTTCAAATCAGCCATACAAACCTTTCCCGCTAAAAGACTTTTTTTTCCCAAAATAAGACGTGGATGCTCATACGTACTTTACGTTAACTAAGTGCACCACAAGGACGAAGTTGGTAGAGGATAATAGTATCCTAATTTATAACTATTTCCAAGATTAAAATTTTTGTAGGCTTCTTTCATAGAGGGAGCAGAGGCACCTGTGAAATAGAGAGAAATGTGAACGAATTACTAGCTTCCACAACAGTATAGGAGAGGGCTTCATTTTCCGTTCAACTATACCACAACGGTCATACTCACCAGAATGTTAAGTTTCCTTGTCTCCTTGACCTTTCTATCTTGTAATTTTAGAAATAAAAGTGCGAGATGTTAAAAAATTCCAATTCTACTGGATCTGATTTAAAATAATTTACAATTGAAAATATGATTCAAATTTATTTTAAAGTACACACCAATACTAAGTGAAAAGTGAAATAACACAAACGAAAACATTTCAGTGTTGTTTGTGACCAACAAATACTAAAATCTGATGCGCTTTCCATCCGTATTTTTCCGTTTATTTTTGCCCCGTTTTAAAATGTGGTACCGTGTTGTGTTTCGATTCCTTTACAAGTTAAAATGGTGTGAAATAATAAAGTAAATGAACACAACTCTACTCTAGATCGGGGAAACAATAATATGTACTTATTGACTGAGTGGGAGGACCGAATGGGAAAATATACGGCTCGTGGTCATGACGTATGAACTGAGCGCAGCGACAGCCAAATATTTTCCCGTCCAGCCCGACCGAACTCAGTCAATAAGTATATTTATTTTTTTTAGAGGGCACGGCAACAAATCCTGCAATCTGATTGGTTCTTTACCCGGTCAGTATTTTCCTATCTCTGCCCACGGGCCACGGTAACGCTTTCGTGAGTCGCCGAGTACATCCCAACTTTCGTTACCATTTTTCATAAATATATCTCGTTTTTCCGGCTGGGCAGTATTTTTAAGCAAACGCGTCGGCTACTACCTCAAGCCGATAAATAACTTATGAATCCTCTCTTTTCTCTCTCTCAAATCACTTTGGTTGACAGAAAAATATTGGTTTCAGAATTAATTTGTGTAAGCAATAGCGTCATTACGTTGGTTGACAAGCGGCCTATAAACCGTCTGCAATTAATTTTAATCGTTCACAAAAAATACCTAAAAAGTTAAAACGTGAGGTATTTGGTTACAGTTAACTGAACGATGGAACTTTCATTCATTTAATATCTGAATTTTTTCAAACAATTTGTTCGTAGTGAAAGAGCGAGAGAAGTTTTAATTTCAGTTCTACAACAAATATACGCTCCCGGTGAGTCTTTCTAAGTCCGTTCAATTTGGACATTTGTACCGTAAATTGCACAACAGAAACTGAAGGAATTTATTGAGAAAAGGCTGCATTAAATCCCCTTGTGTCTCGTTGAAGTGTGCCATTCGAATTTAGTTTTTGTAGACGAAAGACCAGATTTACAAACGCCATTGCAGCAAACAAACGAGCAAACTCTCACAACTTCAAATTAAAAAATTTGAATTTACTCACAATTACTTTCCTCGCCGTTTCCTTAATGAACAGAGGTAAATCTTCGAACATGAATGAATCGTCGATCAGAGTGAATAATACTTTCCGTTAGATCATTGACTGTTTTTGAAGAAAATATTGTCGTGACAGTCCTTGCCAAACTAGTTCCGTTGTTTTTCAAATCTTCTTGCGCTTTTTTTTCTTACGTGCTCTCTAATTGACAGGTGTCAGATTGTGACAGATACTTGTAAAAATAATGTTTCAAAGTTTGTTAAGAAGCCTTTTAAATCACCTTTATCGTTGCGGAAATGAAAATGTCTCGGTGAGGCATCTCTCTTTAATTTGCATCACCTCTATTTCAACCAGGTACTCGCTCAAAAATTGTTCAGTTTATGGAAGATCTTGCCGTATTTACAGCCCTAAATCATTCGGGTTTTTTCGGAAAGTATCTCGTCAAGTTTAAAAAAAAAAAAATATGTTATTTACCGGCTAAGGGTCGGTCCGTATGGTGAAAAACTGTGACCTCGGTCTTGAAAATGCAGAAGTATTTACTTTACTTTGAAGTATTTTCAAGACCTCGGTCACAGTTTTTCACCATACAGACCTCCCAGCCGGCAAATAACATATATGACCACAGGAGTGTTGAAAATTTCGAAATTACGTTTTAACCTTAATAGGACGCGATAGACGGGCGCATGCAGGACAACCACAAAAAATAATCAACAATCAAACTTTCCTTTTTTTATTCGAGTCAGAGCAAGAAACTCAATTCATAGAAAAACGCAACTTTTCTTACCCTTTTCTGTTTTACTTATTTTTTTGCAAAAAAGCCGTGGAGTGCTGAGCCGGATAGCTTTTTTCCAGACAGATCAGAGTCCACCCGTCCGGTCCTACACTAGTCAGCTTTCATTATGGTTTTCTACTGAATTGCGCGCGCGGGGCTTAACGGGTCATATTATAATACTGATTATGGGTTTTCATCCTGACGTTGAAGAGAGTGATTCAAGGGTTTTCTACCACTCACTAATGTGGTGAAGTAAATTAAACCTGCACAAGCCTAGATTACTTTGGACACATTGCAAATAAAATTGTTATATTCTGTAGAATAACAATGAACTTACCACTGGGGAGATACACTTCCCTTCTACTTCATTGACCAGTACAACCCAACAGGATATCTGAACCTCGCTCTACACGCAAGGAATAATCATGTACTTAGTCCTGGGGTCTGGAATTGAAAAGATAAATGCTAACTCAATATTTGATAGTTTTGGATACTTTTGAATTGATGATACTCGTTGTGTTGTAGCAAAATCCTTTAGTCTCTGTGAAGGATATTTTGCGTCATTAGGATGGCTGTTCAATGTACATGAAAAAAGAACATCTCCTTAAAACTATTCATCTCAAACATCATACGTCTTTTTTCTTGATTGTTGGACATAGTAATGTTGAACAAGAATTTAATTCAGATTTCAAAAAAATCCCTAGAAAGAAACGTAGCAAGATACCTGTATAAAAGTCCCATTCCGATTACGACTGAGGAAGTGGCTTAACACGGCAAGCAGACTATATTGTGGGTCAGCTATAAGTCACCCATCTCTGGTAGACTGTTTAAGATCTATCACCACAGCAGGACAGCCCAGTTTCTGAAAAAACTTTCTCTCTTTGCTATTTGGTGGACCAAGTTAGGGTCAGCTATTAGTGTCCCGTCTCTGGTACACAGTTCAATACCTATTCAGCACAGATACAGTCCAGTTTCTGGAATAGTTTTCACAGTTTTTTTAAGTGGACCAAGTCTTAGCATCACAGATCAAGACTGAGGAAGAGACTTCATGGGTTAAACCGACTCCACACTGTGGGTCAGCTATTGGTCACCCGTCTCTGATACACAAGTCAGGATCCATTCCGCACAGCAAGACAGTCCAGTTTCCAAAATTATTTTCACACTCTTCTCCCTTTTTTTTGGTGGACCAAGTCTTAGCATCCCAGATCAAGACTGAGGAAGAGACTTCATGGGTGAAGCCACCTACATTGTAGGTCAGTGATTAGTTACCCGTCTCTGGTTCACAGTTTAAGATCCATTCAGCACAGTCAAAGTCTCCTCCACATTGTGGGTCAGCTGTTAGTCACCCATCTCTGATACACAAGTCAAGATCCGTTCAGCACAGCAAGACAGTAAAATTATATTCACACCCTTCTCCTTGTTTTTTGGTGGACCAGGTCTCAGCATCACAGATCAAGACTGAGAGGAGACTTAATGTGTGAAGCCAACTCCACAAATTGTGGGTCAGCTATTGGTCACCCATCTCTGATACATAAGTCAGGATCCATTCAGCACAACAAGAAAGTCCAGTTTCCAAAACAGTTTTCACACTCTTCTCTTCATTTTTTGGTGGACCAAGTCTAAGCATCACAGATCAAGACTGAGGAAGAGACTTCATGGATGAAGCCGACCCCATTGCTGGTCAGCTATTAGTCACCCATCTCTTGTACACAGTTCAAGATCTGTTCAGCACAGCAAGACAGTCCAGTTTCCAAAATAGTTTTCACACTCTTCACCCTGTTTTTTGTGGACCAAGTCTTAGCAATTCACAGATCAAGACTAAGGAAGAGACTTCATGGGTGAAGCCACCTACACTGTGGGTCAGCTGTTAGTCACTGGTCTCTTAAGCAAAGTTCAAAATCTGTCTAGTGCAACAAGACAGTCCAAGTTCCAAAATAGTTTTCACACTTTTCTCTTTTGTTTTTTGTCAGACAGACTCTTAGCCTACCAGATCAAGACCATGAATGACACTTTATGGGTAAAGGCAACTCCATTGTTGATCAGCTATTTGTCCTCCATCTCTTGTACACAAATCAAGATCCATAAAAGAGGTAGATGTGGTGGGAGGCAGTGCTCTAATGGTTCCCCAATTTTTTTTTTTTGCCTTTCAAGGTGGACATTTTTCTATTGCCTCCTTCTTCAAGGGGTCAGAGATACCTGCGAAAAAATTTAAGTAGAATCCATTGTGTTAGGGTGTCATTTTGTATTGTTTGAAACCATCAACTCATTTAGTCAACATGCTGAATATTGGCAGAGTTCTTTTCTTTGGTTTTTCACAAAAACCCAACAAGGGAACTATGGAGCCATTACATCTAGTCATCTTAATCAATAAAGCTTGATTTATCATACAGCAAACATATTTTGCTTTTATTAATAAGAATCAAGAATGACTTGTTTATCTCAAGAGCTGGAAAAGAAAACCAACACCATTTGTAGCACAATAAACCCCTGAATAGTTATTCATGTTTCTTTGTTTGAACTGTATTCTGCCACTTTTTGCAACTCCAAATATAAGTTGTATTAGCCTATAGCAGATAAATGTACCTCCTTTGTGCAGTAAAACCTTTGCCATGCAATTGTAACAGTCAATGTCTCCTCACAAACTTTTATAGCTCTCATTAAATTTTAAAGAATTATTTTTCACCAAAGTGGAGGTGAAAAGTGATTGACATCAACCATCTCATAACAACTATGGATAACCAGCTATTGCAACAACAACAAGGTGAGGAAGAATAATGTTTTAGCCGATATCACACACATTGAATAAGTTAAGACCAAAGTATGACAATATTTCCAACAATACACTGTACATCAGCAAAAGGCAAATCTCATCAAAAAATTCTTGACGTGATCCCCATAATTATGAGCAGATGAGATGGCTTAAGTGTTAACACCCTGGACTAGGGGTGGAGAGGTCCCAGTTCACATCTTAGCTAGGTCAATGTTGTGTTCTCAGGCAGGACATTTCCTCTCACAGTGCCCCTCCCCACCCAGGAGTACAAGTAAGTACAGGAGATCTGTCAGGGAAAGCTGACAAAATTCCTGAGGGTAACTTTGGGATGGAGAAGCATCCCATCCAGGGGAAGAAGAAATGCCTCAGCAACCAGGACTAAGACTACATGTAGGTGCAATTTTTTCTCAAATAATGCCTTAACAAATCACATAAAACTCTAAACCTATCAAGAATTGAGTTCAGCCCCATTAAAAAACTGTACAAAGTACTCAGAGGCATGGATGAAAATAACTCAATTGTTAAAAAAGTGCCACTTTCTAAATTTAAGGGGAAAATTGCCTACTACAGGGTGATGTGCTTCTAAATAACAAACATACTAAATTGGTACACAAGCAGTCTTCCAACATAACTGTAATCAAGCTAGCCTACTTAGTACTAATTTAAAATCAGCATACTTGTAATTTGCCTCCACCTTTTAACTTCCAAATCAAATTTGTAATTCTCCTTACTATCAATCACAATTCTTATAGATGTTAGTTCAGAGAATTTAGTATTGGATCAACCAATCATCCCCAAATTGATATTTTTCTTTTTTCTCATCACTTATCTGGTTGATATTGTATTGATTTTGCAGAGAGAAAGCTGTCTTGGTCGCTCATGGGAGTTAGAGGGTTGAAGACAGTGTAAATTGGTTCACAAGACAGTCTTCCAACATATTTGTGATCAAGCTAGCCTACTAATAGTACAGGCAGGGTGCCAATGCAAATAAATTTTTCACTTTGGCGACCAAATCCTGAAAATTAGTCACCAAATTGGCACCTGGAATGCTTCATCATAACCTTATCTGGAGATATAGTGAGTTAAAAAGATTTGCAAAGATAAATCCGCAGCAAACTTCCTCGTTAAGTTTGTTTCCAAACCACAGCACATGCATCTCAATCAATAACAAGACACCATCTTGGATTTAGGTGAGCTTGAGAGTTGTATATCATCATTCCTAGTGTCCACTTTGTAGTATGAAAGATCTTTTTCCTAACCTAATTTTAGAGGCTCTATCTAGCACGCTGACAGCGTAAAAAAAAAAAGTTTTGTTTGTCTTTTAAAATGGCGACCAACTTTTTTTGAATTGGCTACCACTTTGAAAATTTAGGATCAGTAAGAAAAAATTAATTAATCTCATCACTTATCTGGTTGATATTGTATTGTTATTGTAAGGGAAATTCTGGTTTGGTCACTCATGAGAGTTGAAGGGTTAATCTTATGTTTAAGTATAATTTTGTTATTGGCTTGGTTGTATCATATAGGAGTGGTGTATTTTAGAAAGTATCAGTAAATAAGTGATTTGTAATTTGTAATTTAAAAGGCTTTCTTGTCCCAAACATTGCTTAGTGTTTTGTTTTGTGGTTTAGTACCTTTTAAAGCAAACTCGGCTACTTGGCGGAGTACAGTATTTGAATATCCCGTAAAACTGTGTATAAAAAGATCAGAATTTCAGAATAATCCGACAGGATCACAGGCTTGCTTCGCAGCTTAAAGTAAGATGAAGCAAAGATAAACGATTCAATGTGCCCGTCAAGCACTTCCTCACCTCTAGTATTTGACTGACTGTCTCACGTGGTCTCCTTTGAAAAGTTTTCCAGCCGCTTTGCAAGTCACATTTTCCATACAAGCACCATAAACAGCAGGTAACATAAAATGGAAGGTACGAGATCGATTAACTGCCATTTTTGCTCCTGTTGTGGTACCAGACTGGGCAGTTCTTTCCATCTTCCACTTACGTTGTTGTTGAGTTACTTGTGAAGCAAGGACAACACGTGTTCGCTCCCTTTATTCATTAATTCATGTAAGCTGTACATTTCTTGTAAGCTAACACAACAGTTGTAACCCAAAAAGGTCGCCATATTGTGTTTACTTTCTGCTAGATCCCAGTGTTTTTCGTCTGTGACGCAAAGTGCGTCATGCTACACGCGCAAATGCGCGGCAACACGCGTGAAGACCTTCCAAGCACCAAATAAAATAATACTTTTTGCCATTGTTCTTTATTCGAGTGCCCGGAGGAGCTAAAAAAAAATAGGTGTAAAAAATCACAGAAAAGTACTCCCTTTGTAGATTTGAACGTAATCGAGCGTGGAAAAGAAATGAGTTGTCCCACCGTCATGAATTCACTGTCTACGAATGTTATTGAAATCCTGGTTCTTACTTGGTGTAGAAGACGCAGTATACGTCACAATTGAATTTTATGACAACTGGGAATAAGAAAACAATGAAAACAATAGTGTGACGTACACTGTGTCTTCTACACCAAGTCAGAGCCGAAATCCCTGCATTATACCTTCATTCGGATGGATATTTCGCAGTTCTGGATTGATCACAGCCTTTACGCTGCTTGTCATTCCAGCTGAAAACTAATCGCAAACTGAGGAATGAAGTTACTAAACTTCTAAGAGAATCAGAAGCAAGAATTCAGAAAAACAAGAAATAGTAAGGACTTTGGTAAATTTTTAGAAAAAACCACTCACAAAAAGAGACGTAGTAGTATTAATCCACTAAAACTGAAATGCTCCAGGTAAAAATATTGTTGATCATGCATTCATGATTAAGCCTAGGCTATGACTAATTTTTTTGTACGTTGCTGGGAGCACAGATTTGGCCTCCAGTGTCATAGCCAAGATACTGCTGCACTTTTTTCAGTCCCTAGCGTATGATATTATATCTATTTTACATGGACTTGGTGACATACACCGCAGACTCTTTCTAATACCAATTTTGCTTTTGTTGTGGTTCATTATGGTGGAGTGTGCAATTTATTTATACTCATATAAGGCCACCCGGACAATGAAAACAAATTATAATAACATTTGAAGGGTCAACCTTGTTCCCAGTAGCCTACGCGTTGCCGTACCCCTTCCCCCCCCTTCCCTCACACACACACGCCCATGCGCACACACACACACATAAAGTGCAGTCCCACCAATGTGACAAGCGGCTGCACTCTTTCCAGCTCTTATGGCGTTTATCACTGTCATTTGTTCAGGTATAAGATTCATTTCAAAAGAACTCAAAGAGCTGAGACGTCTTCTTGCCGGTCCACTGTGTTCGTCGTCTCCACAATTCGAATCGCTTTCTTTACCTGTAGTTTTAAATAGCTTCGGTGTCACACCGTTCTTATCTTCCAGAGGTCTTTTCATGCAGCCCACTGTGAAATCCTTATCTGTAAGAGGGCTTATGTTTTTAAACGACCGAGCTTTATCAGCTGAGAAGCCGTCTTCTGTTACTTGCAATTCCATTTTGTTTACTTTGAGCAAGTTTCAATGACAGACATTTTAAAAACGTCGCGAGCTGATTCGGTGGACAATTTCGAAACATTATTTGAATCTTCAGTGTTAGAGGTTTGATGGTAGCCTTCCCTTCCTGTAAAAACCGTTTTTGAATGGTTAATTCCTTCAGAAGAAAAGTCTTTCCCAACGGAGATTGACTACTGACGATGTCGCGAAATTCATCTCGACCCAAGACAACTGTAATACTCTTGAAGGTTCACCGTTTCGTGACCACACCATTGGAATTGAGGTTTTCCACTGTCAAACAGCGTTCTAACTCACTAGCTTCCATCACTCTATCGAAATAAAAGTTTAAAAACGTTTGAAAGAAATGGAAGCTTTGATCGAAAGGAATCAGTCGTCTCTTTCACCTTTAAATTTTGGTGTCCCAAGACATCGACCAATCACATGCAAAGAGTAAGTAGTCTCCAGTCCTCTTTGTCGGGGTCTCAAACCGGCTAAATTTAGCAAGAATGTCACAAGCAATTCCATATTCTATCGTCCTAACTTCGGTCTATTCCGGTGATTTGGGCCTCCAGATAATTCACCGAACCGAACCTAAATACCCCTGGATTGATTCATCTGCGCAGTGAACTGTGGAAGCTTGCATACCCCAGTTCTTCTTTCGTGGGCTTTCCCAAGTATAGCCTTTGTTTGTTTGTACGGTGCAGAGGAGGGGGCGGGGATGACCAGAATACTATTGACCCACTCCATCCGGAATCCCCTCTCCTTCCTTCTGATTTTTTTTTCTTATTTTTCTGTTTTTATTTTCTCAATACCCTCCGAAAGTGTAAATGATATGTTCTGAAGCATGATTGTGTTTTTGGGCCCTTCTCAGTGGCATTATAACCTTCGCCTGACGGAAAGGGCTAAAATGACTCTGAGTCGGGCGCAAACATAGTTATGCCCAAGAACATAAACTTTGTATTATTTCATTGTAAAGGACCGTTTGGACCCGAGAGTTATCTGAGAAGAAGGCTACAGATACGTCGGACACTCCGAACTTTCAAATGTGCTCTTAGTCTCATCAGAGAATAAATGTGGACATTTAGATGTCTTCCATGGGATTCGACTGCCGTTTGTCAATACGTAGATGTGAATTGGTCACTCGCTAAGTGAGTGCTTACTTATTGCAAATTGCACGAGAAATATCATGTGATTACGTATTAATAACATACCTGAAAGAATATGAGATAGCTTATCATAATTGTGGAGAAGCAAAGCGCGCGCATCAAGTGAAAAAATAATTTATTCAAACCTTGCGTTCGGTCAAAACAACCGCGTACGATCAAAACAATAATATACAATGATATTTTCACATCTTTAGGGCACAAAAAGTTCAGAGTTCGGCTAAACAATTCAAGGACTTGTTTGTGTCCGAATCACTTTCGATGAAATGGAATCGCCGTTTGCGATGTGTAATCATGTTTGCTTTTAATTTCGGCGTAGAATCGCTCGGGCGAAGTGTTAAGCTGAGTCTGCTCGAAATTTTCAATTTCCTCGGCGATTCCGTTCTCTAGACACCACTTTTTCCAAACCGATAACCAAAGAGTAGTGCTTTTTAGAGTGCTTTCGTTGTTAGAGCTGTTTTTCAGCTACTGTATTGTTGTTGCGGTGGCGAAAGAAAACCTACTTGAAACGCCGGCCATTGTTTCGCTCGCAAATTTTCAGCGTATCCAAATGTTGCGACATCCGAGGCTCGCATTTGATTGGCTATCTGTGAGTTTCTTTGATTATTGACCAATCAGAATGTTTGGTTTGTTATTTCTTTGCACTGAATTAACCCTCCTCTGCATTGAATTACCTGAAAACTGCATTTATCTTAACCAATCAGAACTGAGTAAATTTTTCACGTATATTATTAGGAATAGTAATAAGCCACGATCTTGAAGTTGGGGCAAAATAGAGGAACTAAAAAGTTCCCCCATAATGAAGTTGTATGGATCGAAAAAAGTGGTTAACAAAAATAAATTTTCTCTCTCTCCCCCCTCTCTCCCCCCTCTCTCCTACCTCTCTATCCCCCTCTCTCTCCCATCTCTCCCCCCCTCTCTCTCTCCCCCTCTCTCTCCCCTTCTCTCTCCCACTCTCTCTCCTCCTCTCTCTCAAGGTAAAGTAAGTTTATTTTTGTTTCTAATTACTCAGACCACATAGACAATGGACCACGAAATAACTACGTGTGAGTTTATTTCTGAAAAATAAAAACTTTTTTTCCAGTCTTTTAACTAAACTTATGCGTTATTTTCGTTCTTTTTGAGGTTAAGGCTCTTTTTCTTTTATAAAAATGAAAATATCAGTTACACAGTGTCCCACCTCAACTCACCCAGCCAAAAAAATCACTCTTGCATGCATTGCATGCCTATGATTTTTCTGTTTGTCCATTCCACTGTTTCTTCTTTTAACTTTGTTGCGATTATATTGAGCACTGTTTTTTTTCTCTGCTATGTTTGGTATTTTTGTTTAGTTGAATCTTGTGCATAGCTCGTTCTCTCCTCCGATGAAATATTTCATTCAAATCTTGCACAATGCTTTTCTCGTCTCTGTTTGATTCCAAGTTAATATCTACCTTATTGTTTGTTTCAACTTAAATTTGATTCCCATATTTGAATCTAGCCCTCTGTTCTTTTCCTTAACCCTTTAACTCCCATGAGTGACCAAGACAGAATTTCTCCTTACAATATCAACACAGAATCAAGCAGACAAGTGAGGAGAATAAAGAAGAAAACTCAATTAGAGAACTACAAGTTGATCCAATACCAAATTCTCCAAATTGAAATCATGAGTATTTTATGGCAGACAATAGGGAGAATTACTAATGAGGTCTTGGGAGTTAAAGGGTTTACTCTGGCTGATTGTCACGTTCATATCCTACGAACTGTTTGCACCCTTCTGTTTGGCGTTATTATCTCGCAACAATGTTTGATTTTTGGGGTAATTCTCAACCATTTTTCTCTTCTCTGTCTGATTTTTACATTACTATTTCCTCTTTTCTATTTGATTGTTTCTTCAGTATCTCGGATCTTTTTGTTCCATTTTCTATTAGTTTGTTATGTTATCATTTCCTGCACCTGTGAAAAGTCTTAATCACTCTAATAATCACGTGTGCGTGCAGCGGGAGAATTGAAGACAGAATTATAATGATTTAAATCAAGGATTAACTTTGAATTCTGACGAAACTTTGCCACATTCTCACATTTTCATACATTAAGCTAATTTCCTGCGTTCAGTTTTCCCATCCCAATTTATTGTAGATCCCTATTGATAGCATACTTAATAGATCAAACGACTTAGTTGCAGGTTTCATTATCATCATCATCACAAAAGCAAACAAAATCTACTACTTGACTGGAAAAAATTAACAATGTCTTCGCAAAGTAATACCAGTGTCCATTGAACGACAATGTTTAGGAAGAAGAATCTTTGTGTAGGATCAGTAGTCACTCTGTTTCTTCTCCGCCTCGTTGTTGTCCTCCTCGAGTCCTTCTTTCCTAAAAAAAAGCATTATAGATTTGTCACTATTTCAGCTTTAAAGTAAACGAAACAGATTTCCAATCACAGAAATTACTTTCTTCTTCAATTCCATTGGCTATGATTGTCCAAACTTGTCAAACATACCATGCTTGATACGAAAGTGACTTTAAGATTTTCAATTTATTGTTATTTTTGTTAATTTTTCACAAATAAAGTTAACTTTTCAGCTTCTCAAGTTACCTTCATCGTCATAACGTGTGGTGTCGCATCGACTTTGACTAATTATTTCCGAGTATATTGCATACAAAAGAAACGCTAATTCAAAGCCAATTTTAGAAAGCCTTCTGTGAAAAAATTCTGGCTCCGAGCGCTAGATAAAATCAAGTTCTTTTTCCTGGCATTTCATGGATGAAAGACAAAGACAAAAAAAAAAAAAATTACGGCAACTGAGTGAAGTGAATAAGTTAAGTGTGCTAATCGGTTTATCGTAGAAAATTGCTCATTCTAATCAGACTTACCCTTTTTTCATAAAATCAAATGTCACGTTATCCCCCATCAACACAAACGGAGCCCATTGGGAAGGTTTGGAAAAGCCATTACTTCTCAACCATTGAACGGCCTGGTGAAGAGATTCACTGGCACTTTCTCCACGCACAAGGTGTTTATAGAAATGTTTCATGAGCTTCGCCGTTGCTTTGTCTTCTATAGCCCACAATGCTACCAACACTGAACGCGCACCAGATGCTAGGAATGCTCGAGCGATTCCAATAACTCCTTCTTTTTTAATCAATCCACGCCCACTGTGACAACAGCTGAGTACAACCAGTTTAGCTCGCACTTGAACTCCTTCAATGTCGGACATTTTCAGGAGGTAGTCTTCCTCCTGTGGAGTACTGTTAATAGTACATTGAGGAGAGAGGGCAATCTCTCCTCTTTCGGGATTTCCATGTGCGGCAAGATGTATCAGACTCACTGAAGGTATTGCTTGAAGAACCGCCTGCTTTGTTGCGCGACTTCCCAATATAGGCTGAACACCCAGCAGTTGACCAACCATCTCTGCTTCCTTACTTGCATAAAACAATGGTGTAATGTCAATAAGAAGTCCATTATATTGCACTTTGCCAACCGTAGGATCACCCACAACCAGTCCGCCAGTTTGACTGTGATAGTCTGCTGGACATTGTTGAATGAGCCGGAGAGTTGTCAGTGAAGGGATGATGCGTATTCTGTACTTCTCCGATAAATACTTGCCGGCTTGTTCATCACGCAAGGCAGCAAATGGGACTCGATACAAAAAACGATCCGGTACAATAATGATTTCAGGCTCTGTGAGTAAATCTACCACAGGTGCGACGATCCATTCGTAGCACAAATGATGACTTCTTCCGGTATCTTTGGTTTCGTCACCTCGCAAATTTGCTTGGCTCTCTTCATGAAGAGATGTCGTCAAGTTGTCATTCAGCGATCGGTCTTCGCAGTTCCCTTCGGGTAAAACACCAAAGCATTCGGCGCTCTTTTTGAAAACTCCCTCCACTTCGCAAACTTGCGCAGCAATAAGAGTGTCTATTTTCACTTGGTCTGTTCTTCGAAAGAAAATGTCTCCATTTGCTTTCAACACCCAGAGAAGAACTTGCCGATCTTCATACGAAATGTACAAAAAAACACAGTTACTTTCTCTTCTCGCGATGTCTTCAATCCCGAACCATGATCGTGGATCAGCTGAGATGTGGCTTTCAGCGGAGTACTTGTCTGCCATGAGTTCTGCGAGGACTCTTGCTCGTCCCAGCTCCTCAACATACAGAGCATTTCGAAAGTTTCCAGTACGGCAAAGGAGGTGAGTGAGCAACTTGTAGGGAAAAGTGCCGTGTTTCTCTAACAGAGAAATTTCAAATCCACTGTTTCCTTTCTGGAGAGTTCTGATTTGTTCATATTTTTCAATACCTTGGAGAAGATATTCCATTGCCTCCACATCCTCGAACTGCGATATCTTTAACATTGAAATAAGGAGAAGACTTTGAAACTCAACCATTTTGTGTCCAATTTCGCTGCTTATGGAACGAGCTTTCTGTAAATAATATTCTGCCTTATCATATTCAAAAAACGATTGGGATAGACTTCCAACTTGTAGGTATAGTTGTGCTACGTACTTTCTATCGCCACATTCCCTGCTGATTGTAAGTACCTTCTCACAAAGTTCTTTTGCCTTCTGAATGTCATTTACAGAATTAGAGAGCCTTGCCAAATCTGCAATAGCCAGTGCTTCCAGTTCTCTGTCACCAATTGCAATACTGATGCCGACTGCTTTGTCCAAATGTTCTTTAGCTTGCCGATTTTTATTAAGACTGTAGTACACCCTTCCAAGTTTTAAGTATGCTGTACCTTTGCTTCTTCTGTTGTCAATATCTATCGCGATGGCACGTGCTTTCTCGTCATATTCTTTAGCATTCTGATATTCGCCAAGGGAATCAAACACATTTTCGAGGTTCCCGTATGTTGTTCCTTCTCCTTTTCTGTCGCCAATTTCTATCAAGATGGCAAGTGCTTTCTCGAAATATTCTTTAGCATTCTGATATTCGCCAAGGGAATCAAACACATTTCCAAGGTTCCCGTATGTTGTTCCTTCTCCTTCTCTGTCGCCAATTTCTATCGCGATGGCAAGTGCTTTCTCGTGATATTCTTTAGCATTCTGATATTCGCCAAGGGAATGAAACACATTTCCGAGGTTCCCGTAAGTTGTTCCTTCTCCTTTTCTGTCGCCAATTTCTATCATGATGGCAAGTGCTTTCTCGTGATATTCTTTAGCATTCTGATATTCGCCAAGGGAATCAAACACACTTCCGAGGTTCCCGTATGTTCTTCCTTCTACTTCTCTGTCGCCAATTTCTATCAAGATGGCAAGTGCTTTCTCGTGATATTCTTTAGCATTCTGATATTCGCCAAGGGAATCAAACACACTTCCGAGGTTCCCGTATGTTGTTCCTTCTCCTCCTCTGTCGCCAGTTTCTATTGCGATGGCAAGTGCTTTCTCGTGATATTCTTTAGCATTCTGATATTCGCCAAGGGAATGAAACACATTTCCGAGGTTCCCGTATGTTCTTCCTTCTCC